ATGCTGCATTAAGAAATGGTCTGGTTAACTTTTAAAGCTTCTGAAAAAACTGTTTTTTCAAAAAATCGAAATATCTCAACAGGAAAGAAAAAAATCAGAAATCTGCAGCTATAACTTTGTTCCAAAAGGAGGAAATTTTGAGTATTTGTCGGTCGTTCAGTGTTTTATTTTTTGCGATGTATATGCACTTTCGCGCGCACGTTTCTCGCCTGATCAGATATGTGTGATGTGAGTTTGTCGATAAAGCTTGATCGAAAGAAAAATCCTTTGTATCAAACTTAAAAATTACCTTTGAAAGACTGAATTCTAAATTAGAATTAGAGAAAGAAACGGCTGCTTTTGAAAAATGTAGACCGAAAGGGAGAAAAACAACCGAAAAGCTATTAACGACAACAAAGTAAGATCCAGCAACTTTATCTATATCATCAAAACGGCAGCGCAATTTTAACCATAAATGGTTAAAATATCCACAATATCGACTTTAATTTATTTGCGATATATGTGACTTTTGGCCTATGTTGCTCCTTGATGAGTTATTGAACTTTTTCGTTTGGACGAGGAAGGTAATCCATAACATTAATTTTTTTATAACTCACGTCAGTCAAAACAGCGAGATAAAAGGTCATTATAGGCCAGTCATCCACTAATGAGTGAATAACAAAGCTGGAATCTAAGTTGACTTATTATGACGGTGAATTACAGTTGTTTACTGATTTAGCAGCAGAATTACCACAGAATGCATCCTCAGTTTGATCTGTTTAACAACAGAATATAAACAGAATCATTTATAGAATCATGAATTTTATAGAGAAAAATGCAGAATTACTCTATCGTGCTTTCACCTAAAATGGTTGTTTCGTTAAGACACAGCGAATAGAACATGACGCTCAAAAGATGAGTTACAAGTCCGTGTACTTTACAAATTAGCGATCTTTAATAACTAACTTTCTTATGTGCTTTCCTTAGTTCGACAGTTTTCTGTGTACGATGATTGGTGTATTTTGCTTTAATTCATAACGCTTATCAGTGCAATATGATCCTTGAATAGATGGGAACAGTTTTGAGTTTTGAGAACTGAGGCACTATAATACTTTAAACGTTATGCAATTTGAAAGAGAATTAAATTCTGGATCTTTTCATTATAAATCGGCTGAGAAAAGTATATCTGGGTACTTCAGCACAGGTCTGCCCACTTTATACACGACTTAAAGCCGGGAAGGTTTGACTAATGTCAGTCTTGACAACTGAATATATAAAACTATATTTTAAAGTTCTGGACCAAAAATGGACTCATTTATTTTTTATATAGTTGTTTATGCTCATAGGATGAGAAGAGTAAGAGAACGGGTTCGAACAATTTAGATGCATGGTGATAATGACAAATGTGATAGTGCTCGTGTGCTTTTGAATTACGCAGACTTTGTGCAAAGAGAACCATTCACCATTCAATCGTCGAGTGGATGCCACACCAAATATTTTCATGGCCGAGCGACACCCTAATTGACAATGATGAATCGATTTCAGCTATTCCACTCGCCATCTCCGAACTCTCCGTGAATTGTCAGAAGTCTACTCAAAAGATGGAACAGTGCCTGTCTTGTACGAGTGATTTTTACACGCATTTCGGTTACAAAACAGTATTAACTCATTGGGTGCCAAATAAAAGTTCTAGAAATCGGAGCTGTCAGCTCGAAAGATTTCGAAGCATAACATTTGTAGACTGGAGTCCTGTAAACTGAAGCCGAAACCGATCGATGGTTTGGTTCTTTTTTCGAAGTCGTCGGCTTTTGAAGTAGGTATGCTGCATTACGAGACTAAATAATACTAATAGGACACCTGCAAACGGAAGATATCTACGGCTATTTAAGACCACTAAAGAAAGTAATTATCTCTCGCTGTGATCAGATCGGGCTGAGATTTTCGGGAGGCATAGGCAAAAGTCTGGAACTTCTATGACCAAAGTTCGAGCTCAATCGGTTGTGGTGTTCGCAAGTTATAAAGCTGGGAGTGAAGAAAAATCAGGGACCGGCTTTGTCCTTTTCTTTCTCGCTTTTGAGGCGATGCAGCTCAAAAAAACTTTAGCAAGAAGAAAAGATCAAATGAAGAGATTGATATCTGGGTTTCTTGAAACTTATCTTCTTCAATTTTTGACACTCACTTCAACATGTCACTGCACAAAATCGCATCAACTGACTGCATTAAATTCGGTATATCTCCGCAATTGAACAAAATTTAGAAAAGCAGATGATAGTCGATTCATTTTTGATAGCGCTGTTAAACCAAAAAAAGGTGAGATTTTTATGTGGAAGCACCGTCGAGAGAAAAGCACAAAACTGTCAAAACCAACAGACGAGAAAAATCGGAAGCAAGTTGATGGTTAGTAATCCATGCGTGAGATAGGATCGGCATGCACTACATTTTGGAAGAGCAGACCATTTTCTTTCTAATGAAATATAATTCGAAACTCAGAAATGAACTTTTCGTGATTGTGTGTAAGGTGGCGGCACTTCTGGGGATAAAAGTTTACAGATTTACTCTGCACGACAGCGCCTTCTATGCCCAGATGAATTATTATGTTCTATCTAATGCTACTTCGGGGAACGACAAAATTAATTTTTTTTTCCCTTTCGCATTACTTGTTTTGAAGCTAAAGTGACTGTGGCGGTTATTAGATGACATTTCTCATCAATATCTAACCAAAAAACGCTTTGTGAGAAATTGCTAAAAACTCCATATTTACTTTTAGGGCTAAATAGTGGTCAAAAAATCTTTTTTTTCTACAATCAATAATTCTGAAAGAGGACACTTCAGGCTATTTTAATTCATGCTTAACTCAAAATCCATTCATGAAGCGAAACTCGACTTTTTGTGTAGGGGTATTGCCTTAACAAGCACTCTATTCAGCATGACATCACCTATGTAATTTGGATTTTTTCTGAGTCTGTCCTTGACCTTCGCCGGTCTGAGACAATGTCAGACTTGTCTACGGTTTGTCACACCTCTCGAAAGGCTGGGAGTAGATGGAGCTGTTCTAAAGTTCGGACTTTAGAGTCCGAGCAGACATGCGTAACAAGCTTTCAAAAGTGCGAAAATGATCAATTAAAATAACAAAATGATTCATTTAAATTACTCGATTTTTGATCAAGCTAATCAAATTCTTTTGATTAAAAATATTATTCAAAATTAATTTTGGATTTTAAAATTTTGAGTAAGTTTAAATTACCTATTTTGTCCGTCTTATTAATTCAAATTACTCAGATCGTGATTTTTTTCACTTAATTGAGTAATTTAAATTAATTTTGTTGTGATTTTGGACTTCCTGGATACCGATTATCTCACAGATCCCATCCAAAGTATGACTCAACCTTCCCTACATTATTTTATTTTTTTCTATTTTTTTCTTCTCTTTTTTTTGCTTTTCTATTTGATTTTTCTTCTCGACTACGCCGGTTGAGAATGCATCTACCTCACAATCATTTCTACTAACGTAAGAAGCTGAAGCCAACCATTCTGAGTAGTCTGTTTCTAAAGTGCATTCCACGATCACTTATTGCTAAGTGTACGCCATCTGATCTCAATAGCAACCCCATGTGAACCGTAGTGGGACTTTAACTGCGATCATAATGCCAGAACATTCGAGAATATTCTATTTTAGATTACAATTAAGTCACGTAAGACCGTTTGCGTGTCAACTTCTTTTTTCTTTTACCGTTCTTCTTCTTTACTTTGTTTCCTTTAAAAAAAACTCTCGCAATTCATTGTTGCGACGTAAAACAATATCCAGAACAAATATTATGCGGCCTTGAATCATTAGTATTTTGATTATTGTGTGTAACGAACGAGTGTTGTTTGTGTTATAAAAAGCGACTAATACAACTCAGATCGTTAATTTCATTTGAAACAAATTACAAACGCTACTATAACTGGAAACGATACTATGTCCTCGTCGACCACCACCCATAGCAAATCCCCTGACAAGGGTCATCCGGACAAGGTCCATGACAAAACGCACGACAAGGATAAGCATTTGGCGGAGCATAGTGGAATGACAAGCGGAACACATGGGAAAGCAGAGGCTCATGGACACACGAATACACGTCGGAAATCTGATAGTACCGAACACACCGGTGTACGTCGCAAATCGGATGCAGAAAAACATGCTCATGTGGATACCCATGCGAAAGCTGCCCATCCAGGTATAGGGTCTTAATTGAATTGCTGTATCAAGTTTCTTGAGATGTGCAATGGTGATTTCTATTTAATTCATCTGAACCGGGATAAGGACTGAGCTGTTGGGTGCGCGAGGGACAGACGTTTTACGCCACAGATTTGCTGTTATTCAGTTAATTTTTTTCTATTATTCAGGAATTATTCGCTATTGTTTGCTTTTATTTAGGGACTTGCTTGCTATTATTTAGGAAATTAGTCGCTGGTTTGTTGTCTTCATGCAAAGGTCTGAGAGTTTTATATTTCTGACCTTTCAGGGCTCGCCTTGTAAGGTTACTTTTCATTAGACTTTTGAACTCCGGAAAAACAACCGCTTTTTATCAACTCCCTCAACTGTGATACTTCCATGGTATCTCTACCACTTTTACAGTGAGTATCTTTCTGATGAGTTGATGGCTTCCAAGTTCATAAAATTGTTGTCGCTCCCAAGAAACTCCTCAACAACTTACTGAATCGCCCAGAACAATAAGTTTTAGCCTCTAATCACGGTAAAAAAATTTCCTCAAGTCATGTGCTCGTAATTCTTGCAGATCTTACAACTGGCAGACAACATTCAAATTCCATTTCAGCTCTTCTTTTATCCCGATGATAGAAACTCTCCAAAAAATTATCTGGATTTTCAGAGGGTTTCTAGGAACTTTTCAATAAAAATTCAACATTTTTCTGCATTCAAATTGAAAATATGGATAAAAGAATAACCTCTATCTTTATTCATAAAGCTCACAGTTCTCACTTTATGTAAATCACGATTAGCGCGACACGCACAGAACTTTTTTCTGGATTTTTTTTCTTTGCAAGTTTCTGACAGCACAAAATCGAGGTTTACGTTGTAGAATATAGTCAGACTTCATTGGAAATGTTGGCAAGAAAACAGAAATCTTAATCTCACTTTGAAGTTCCCTTTTTAAACCTCCGACACTCCGATCGACCGATCCTAAAGACTTCAAGTACCTCTTCGGATTTTCAAGGTCGACTTATTGATCAGGGACAAGAGTTCCATTCACCTAGAAAGCATCATCCCATCTAGAAGATACAGTGGCGGCCAAAACCGAGCGTCCACCTTTATTTTTAATTTTTCTCCTGGACCATAATAGCTAGAACAAATGTGAAAAAAGATTTAAACAACTGATAATCAGATGAGATGTACATGAAGTTCCTGCAAATCAGGTCCCTGGAAAACCAAGATTTTAGAAATCCCAAAAAATCAAGCCCCACTATTCCAACAGAAACTTTTTGTGAATAGCCTGTTTGTGTAGAGCAAACATTTCTAAACAAAACTAGACGTTGCCAAACTCTCCACGACGTTTTTTCATCGAACTGCATTCAGTTACCAAAGCTCCCTCCGTGTCAAAGCCAGCAGAATTGTTAAAGTTCACTAATTCGAAGTTTAAGCGCTATTGTCTGGAAAACTAGATGTTTAGAAATTCTAAAATATAATCAAAACTTTTGATAATGAGGCATAATTGTAGCCCACAGATTTCTGATTAAAATGAGACGTCTCCCAGCTCTACACGATCTTTCTTTGCAAAGTTATAGAATTTACAAGAAAAGCTCTAAATTAATTTCTCGTAAATTCTATAACTTTGCAAAGAAAGGTTGTGTAGAGCTTGGAGACGGCTCATTTTAATCAAAAATCTGCGCGCTACAACATGCTGCATTAAGAAATGGTCTGGTTAACTTTTAAAGCTTCTGAAAAAACTGTTTTTTCAAAAAATCGAAATATCTCAACAGGAAAGAAAAAAATCAGAAATCTGCAGCTATAGCTTCGTTCTCCGCTTCAAGGCGGTTCGTATGACGTGAGAATAAATTCATGGCTTGAAGCCGTCTCCCAGCTCTACGATTTTTTCGCTGTTTCCGACTACGGGTTCGGATCCTCGATAAATAAAAACATCACTTTTTCATTTCCTTTCTCGAAAGATAAGAACTTTTGTGAAAATAAAATGACTTCAAAAGGTGTATTGCTGAATAGTCGGAATCACTTTCATACGCATACAGTGGCGGCCAAAACTGAGCGTCCACCTCTGTTTTTAATTTTTCTCCACCATAACAGCTAGAACAAATGTGAAAAAAGATTGAACAACTGATAATCAGATGAGATGTACATGAAATTCCTGCAAATCAGGTCCCTAGAAACCCGAGATTTTAGAACCGAAAAATCAAGTCCCGCTCGCAAGAGAACACAAAAACGAGACTCTCCACTCAAAAAAGCTTCATGGCTTAAGACAGGAGACTTGTTGCTTTTTTGAGT